TGATATGACATAATCATCAAGAGATAAGGTTTCATATAGTCAAGTCAAGGACATAAGTTAATTAGTAAGTTTTTGAGCTATAAGCCAAGTCCTTAGGTGTGGAAATATTTTTGTCACCACCTGTAGAAAAAATTTGTTTGATTTCTACTGACTCAACTTTAATTTTATAACAAATTCTCAGCATAAGCTGCCACAATAAGAATTTCTGATACTTACCAGGTGCACCAAAAGCGATAAAAATATATGATCCAATTAGAATCGAAGTAAAACTTCTTAAAGTAGTGTTAGGACCATCATTTGAGATTGTAGGACTTGACCATTCAAATTTCAAGATATCAAGTGCCATAATTGAAGAATCCGGATATCCATAAAGAATCAATATTTGATTGTATTGAGCTAAGTTTATAAATAAAATATATAAATTGTAACTTTGAAGCAAAAGAGATGATGATTTATGGTTCTATTGCACTTTGTCTATATATAACAAATCAATCTATGCTAAATACGAGCACGTATTTTGAAAAGATCTCGATGCTTGAGATTAAGTAAACGTATGTTAAATGTACTACTTACGTATAAAGACTGATCCGTGATCAAATCGTAACTGGGGAATATTCCCTGATGTAGGCTAATATGATTATAATAAAAATAAGAAAATAATAACAATATGGAAACAATATAGATTTAAGTTAGTAAAGCAAGAAATTTCTGAATTTATACAAATAAATTAATATAAGCATTGATGAAAGTTTAATTAAGTAGCTTACTATTATACTCAAAGTATCACTAATTATATTATACAATTTTACTTTTATCTATTTAGATCAATATAGTATTAATCGATAATATTTATGCAATTGTAATAAATCCAAGAAATTGAAATAATAAATCAAACCTTTTCAAGCGTAATGTCTGGTGTGTCGCCCGGCGAACCACCAATATATAATATGGACGTCTTGTTTAAAAGTACTGCACTATAAGCTTAAACTCTAGCTGATATTGGACCAAGATCAGATTCCATCCAAATTAAATTTAACGTATTCAATTTAATCATAGTAGTTCTATTCAACATTACAAGTCCTCCATAGATATATATTATATCGTCTGAAAAAATACATTGAATAAGAGTTTCATTGAAATTTGCTGGTGCGTTTATGTCGTGCATCAGTTTAAAATTTGCGTCAGATTAAAATTTAAATGCGGAGTTTTAAAGGGTACGGGTGGGTGAACCACCCTAGCGTCACCCAAAAAATCAGTTACGTACCGGAATTTAAAATTGAATATCAGCACCCAAATAACGATT